GGCTGCTATTCTGTGTTCTGTTACTTTCAGGTTCTGTATGTCAGATACGGTTTAATGTCTGTTCCTTCCTTGCCTTTATTCCCATGAATCTTGCTTTTCTACCTCCCATGAATCTTTCTTTAAATTGTATTTTTTTACCTCACTATTTTATATGAGGGCTTTGTCATTGTTGTTAGAGCATTTTTAAACTTTTSTCTGTCCGACTCTGAGATCTGCCAAACTTTGTAGGTTTCTAGGTAATGTCTCAACTGAAATAATTCCTGGGGTTCTGTATGTTTTCATATAAATCTCTATGAAATCACAAGAGCTTCAAAGCCTTCCTCCTCGGGTGGCTGACTTGCAGATAATTCATTTTTAAATAACAAGTGTTTTCTGGGAAGCACAGACTCCCCACAGGTCTGGGGTGCAGATCCGGAACGGTCCCGTTGGTGGAGGGGAGCGGAGCGGGAGCGCTGTCCCGGCGCAGCTGGGCGGGATCGGAGCGCTGCTGGATCTGAGCGCTGCCTCCTTACTCAGATATATGGCTTCATAATTAGCCCCTTGCATTTTTTCCGAGTGCTGGCATCAGCGTTCTATGATGTGTTTCCCTGATTAACAGCTGCTTTGCAACTATTTCCGTGTGCCACCGATAACCATATTTGTCAAGTTAGTCCTGGCAGGGCACTGATTTCTTACTAAAACAGAGCATTTCTGTTGGAAGGGGTTTTCTTGTTCACTGTCATGCCAGGCTTTTAAGTCAGCCCTTGTTAAAACGTAAGTTGGCTTTAGCCTGATGCTTGTTAACAGGATTCTTGGTATCTCCTTTAGAGTAGGAGTGCAGAAACCTTTCACAGACAATTTAATCTTCCGAGCCTTGCAAACATACAGCTGTACACTGAGGGGGTGTTGCTGTAGGCTAATATATTGATCAGTTCCATTTGCCCTATAGCTCTGGCCTTCTGCTCTGGCTGAAATAGGTTGAGTGTTCCTTGATGCTGCCATATTATTATTTTTTAATACACTAGAAAAAAATTAATTCTAACTTCTTTTACATACGTCATATATATTGCCAGTGTTGATTGCTTCCGCACATGTAATGTAAACTGTCTGTGCATAGTTCATGGCCTGGGCCGCCTCTGCTTAATGAAAAGAAGTGTTGCATTTAAACAGATACAGATCCACTCAGAAAGACAAAATACCATCCGTTGCAACGTATAATTCAGACCCAACCTTTACATCACAGGTCATCTCAAAGTCTCASTCTATCAACAAATACTGTTTAGTAATAAACTACAGAGAGTTCCCAGTATTAGGAAATCTATTAGAGTTCTTACGAGCTGTGCTCCCGGTGGCTTTTGAGTCTTTTCCTCGTGGAATTCTCTTACCAAATCCTGTGGAACTTTTATTGATGAAGATCTTTCACATTTCTCTTAATTTTTTGTTTGCTGCCTATTTTGCTTTTTTTTTTTTTTTGTTAATAGAAGATAGGCATTTGCCACAGTATTTTAAATTTCATGGTTTATATTTTTAGTGCAAGTAACTGATAAAATAGCTTAGATTGCTTTATTGGAAACCCTGCAGCTTTGAGCACAATAAGRAATAAGGCTGTCTTTATCTTCCCCATTAACACAAAAGGGAGGGGAATTAGGAGTGAGGGACCTTGGCTGTAACAGCCAAGTGCTGTGCTTTGGCCCAGAATTTTGCCAGCCTGATGCTCTCCTGTAGCATCTGTAATAAAGTTCCTGTCTTCATTTTATATCTTTGACATTGAAGCAGAATATTTGGCCTGAATTTATGTGATTTGTCCAGTTGCAAATATAATCTATGAATAGTGACATTGATCTTTTAATTAGCAAATCAAACTGTAGGACAAGACCTGCTGCAGGATTGCACCCATCTTCACGCAGTCACAGAGATGTCTTTGTGGATCTGTCACTGCAGAGGAGGCAGTGCTGGGAAAGCAAGTTTATGGGATTGACTGGCTTTTAAAAGCCATCTACACTGTCTTTATACAAATATGTACTTGATCCATTCGATAAAGCCAGTGTGCTAGACAGTGCYTGCTGGCAACCTAAGAATCAGAGCAGTGATACAATGCTCATTATTTGGCAGTGTCCTAATACCGTAAAAATTTGGAGAAGTGTTACAAATGCTACAGAAATAGTATGGAACAATGTTAGCAGCTGAGTCAGAGTGCTATTTGCCACATGATTTTTTTGGCTGTACTCAGGACTGCAAGTCTCATCTTCCTCCTCCTTTTTCTGTTGTTTAAATTATGGAGTGCAGTTGCTCTTGTTTGTGCAAAGAAAATGATCCATAGAAGGTAGGGAAATTCTTGTGTATGTTTGTTGAAAATATTGGCATTTTGACATGGCCAAAATTGCTTCGTAAGTTGCTCGTGTATACAAGATGAATTATAAAAATGAAGACATTTCAGCTCAGCCTATAGGAAGAACATTCAGAGGTAAATGCAAACACAATATGAGAAACCTGGGATTACTGGAGGGAGGAATACATGTCCAGGATTCTTTTTTATGGAGTTTGTTGTTGCTCGTAATCTCATTTTGTTTTAAGATTAAAAAGGCTGTGAATAATGGAGGAAGTAATGCAGGGGAGAGATAAAATAGAAGTTTATTTTGGAGTGAAATTTACTACTGAAATGTTTACATTTTCATAAGGCAAAAATAAGCTTTAATAAGGGGCTGGAATCAATGAAATGTTCACATGGTTGTGATTGAAACAGCATAATGAAAAATACTGCTTATTTCTTACAGGTTTTGTAATGCTTAAAAATTGATAATTAAATACAAGAGCTTGCAGAAGTGCGGGTCTGCAGGCCGTTCGTGTCTAGCTCACTAAATGTGGGAGGCAGCGTTGAGGAGTATCCGAAGACACAAACAAGTAATTATTGTTAGAAGGAAAGTGGCTTTGATATGTTCACATGTCTGTCGGTCTGCTCATTTGGGCATCTTTCTTATTCAGCATATTATCTTAAGGTTATTAGTTTGGGCGCTTTATATTTCTGCATCTGGCACAGCAATATCAGCACAGTTTAAATCTGTGATTTGCCTGTCATCTGCATTTCAGCTGGAGACAGATCAAGTGCACATAAATGAAGCCAAAGTGTACTTTATGTGGGGTGTTTTGCTCTACTGTTTTGTGGTKCAAAATTACTGAATTTAAACTTAAGGAAAAAAATGCAGGAAAACAAGAAAATGAAAATAATTAAAAATAACCCCATTCATTTTATCCTCCCAACTTTGAAGTGTGCTGGGACTTGGTCAAATTCCCGTTAAAATAAATGTCAATTTCATCTTTCTTYCAAATTCATTTATCATGCTTTTTAAAAAGGTGTTTTCTGCTTTACCTGATGTTTAAATTGGATTCGCTCGTTTATGCTGTTCTTTGCTGTATCCCCCATGTTTTTCTTAAATGAATTAGTAATGACAGCGTACTCCATCATACCCTCTCTACAGCCACTTTAAGGGAAGCCTGGTGATCTAAACCTTTTAACCTATTAAAGATGATTTTCCCCAATTGAATCAGACCCACCACAGGTGTAATAACTAATCATTTAAACTACACCTGCTATTATGTATTTTTAAGCCATTATGCATGTTGGATAGATGATAATTCATGTTTATTGCATTGTCCAATGGATCCGTTTTGCCTACACTAGCCTGATTAATGTATTTAAAGAAATAAGAGATGCAATTTAAAAGAAAAAAAAATTGATGGAATGCACTGAGGAGTACATTGAAAGTGCCATTAAACCCATCAGAACTTTGCTCTCTGACCAGAAATGCATATTTGAAGCATTTGATTCAAACACAAAGTGAAACTTAGTGATTTCAGCAGTGATGCTGTGTTTTCCCTTCTTTTTCTGCTGTCAAAGTTTTGGAAACCTTTTTGGCACTGAATTCCAGAAACTGTATTTTAAGCTAAACTCAAGACCTGCCTAGCATGGATCYAGCATATTAGGATGGGTAATTTTAGCTCTAGAGAAGGGAAGTAATCTCTTCCACYAGTTCACATGGGTGTGCCATTAGCACATTATTCCTCACGATGCCACAATCAGAACAGATGTCTTTGGATAAAGGAGAGTGAATCACTAGTGCAGCAGCATGTAATAATGTGTAAAACAATATAGGCAAGTGTGTGGAAAGTGGAACTACCACATGAAGAAAAGAATCAAATACCTTTCACTGGCACTAAATGGAAATGTAAAAATCCAGTGCTGTTGTTCTTGATGCCGTTGAGYGTTATCCCAGATTTTACCCTTTGCTTGGCAAAGTGCTCTTTTTTTAGGTGCTCTCTTACCTTAAAGAAGGATGTAGAAGTCAGGCTGTAGACAAAAGTAATCTGGCTTTTGCTGGAGAGGAATATAAATTTAACTACTTGCCTACCCATTTGCATCATTCAGAATGACTTTTTTGATATTTTGTTATGTGATGCAAAACATGTGAAGTATCTTCTAGTCATGAGAGGCTGAGTTTTATGTATTGCTTTTGGTAAATCAGAATGATGGTAGGAAAGGCCCTAATCTGTTAGAATCTGTAGGGAGTTTAAAGCCAGATAGAAAGGAAGCATTTTTACAGTAAGCCAACTGTTACRGATCACATGCATTGACTCAAGTTTGGCTTAATGTAGGAGCCAGCTTAGGCAAGATCACAATATAAATAACAGAAACATCTAAGAATCTTAATGGAGTTTCTTGTACAGGTAGAGCTGCTCCRAGAGTAATTCAACAAGAACATTTCTAGGTTGAAACACCATGAATGTGCAGTCTGTTTGGAGTTAAGCCACAAGCTCTGGTATTTGTGGAACCATTTCTGAAAGTTGGTGTTGGCCCCAGACCATCTCCTGCCATGGGTGTGTTGCCTTACCTTACAGTACAGAATGCCTGAACRTCAAATAGGGATTTGACCCTACCTAACCTGGATCTTTTCTCTCTTCTTCTTCTCCAATCCACCTACTCTCCCCAGATTGTGACAGCAGTGAAATTTTTACAGAATCCACGGGTCCGCCAAAGTCCTCTTGCAACCAGAAGAGCATTCCTGAAGAAAAAAGGTATGAACTCCTAAGGTTGTGATCTCGGTGATAATGAGGGGCCTTGAGTTAATGGAAAGCCAAAATGTATTGCTGTGGTGTATTAGATGTTGTGGACAAAGCAATTAGTCCGTCTCAAAAAAAGATCTGAAGTTTATAAGAAATATCAGTCTCTTTTCTTCCCAAGTGACTCGTGCAATATTTGCACCAGATGTGGAATTGTAGAATACAAAAGACACATGGGAAGTTTTTGGGCTAACTGTTAGCAGATCTTTTCTGCAATGAGGACRGTTCAGAATTGTGGACTGGTTGGTCAGTTCAAACCTTACTGACACTGGCTTTAGAATGGCCAGGCTCTGGGTGAAAAGGTCAAAYGTTCCCGAAGAGAGCCAGAGAGGCAAAGAACTTGGTGAAAGTAAACAAGGTCAGGSTAAGGTCAAGTTTGGGGTCAGCCTGACTCTCAGGCTGAAATGGTAAACTACTGACTGAGTTTAGCCCTTTTCTGTAGCAGGGATAGAACAGATCCTGACAAATCCTATATTGTCTTAGTCAGATGGAGCATACTTTGGCCATTGCCTACAGAGAATTTATTTTACTTTTACTTTCTGACTCATAGTGGAACTATCTTTTGTTCTTTTTTAATTTCTAAAGTTTTTATTCCCCAACTTGCAGTGCATTTCAGGTGAGGTTCACTCCATATTTTGCTGCAGTCCTGGGACCTTATTGCGTACATCTTACCGTAAGATGTAAAAAATGAGAGTTTTAAGTTAATTACATGCACTGGGGAGTGCTTTAAGCTGTTGAAATGRTACAAACTCCAAACTTCAGAGCAGAGTGACCCACACATACAYTGAAGTCATAAGTGCATCAAGGTACATAAAATTCTAGAGCTAAAGATCGTGAGCTTTGACACACAGGGAAGCCTATGAAACACATATTTTTCTGTGTGGGGTTACGAACTGCTTGTTGAGATGCCCGAGACCTGAAGTGAAGAGATGGAGGGTTCAGGGATATGCACACTTTGCTCATCTYGAATAGCAGGGGATGCAGAAGGGAGTGGCAGCCGTGTGTTCTGGCAGTGATGTYGTGACAGGTACTTGATGGGCACATGATTTGGAGTGTGATCCTCTCCCTGCCTGTCCCAGTGCCAGTTAAGAGAACGTTCCAGTCACACAGGTACCTTGCTTGCCCTGCCCTGCAGTCAGGATGACATTAAAATTGGAGCCTSTTGGTCGCTGTGCACCATAAGTTTTTCCTTGAAATATGTGGACCTACGGGGAGTAATTAATCATAAAAGCTTGGGGATTTCAACTCTATCATGGAAGCAATGAAGCAAGGGAAAGCTGAGCCTAAAAGCTGTGCTGATTACCCGGGGTAACCCGATACAAAATCTATTGTTGCCGAGAGATCCTTAGCCCCCAGTATATCGTGCGATATTATAACTGCCTGATCTGCTTCTGTGCTGACAATGACCAGTTATTCCTCATTTTCTCTCTCAACAGAGCTAGGTTAGAATTTCATTTGCAGAAGGTATTTAGAGCAATTTAGAGACAAATGTCTCTGGTGTTTGCTCTGCACTTCCCCACCGCAGGCTTCGCTGAACAGTTTTTCGTATCAGGAGCTCCATCTAATCTGTTTAATTTTAATAAATCCCTGACTGGGAGAAGAGGAAGGGTGGGGAAATGGAGGCACAGAGAAACTGTGGCCCAGCTAATACTTCTTATGAATTACTTGGCTAATAATTGCTAAAGAGCAGAAATGGTTTGGTAGAACTGTTTGTTTGTTCCTTTTTGTTAATTGGCCCTCCTTCCCTTTGTGCCAGTTGTATTTTTTTTCTAAACTTAAGAGTTGGAGATAGGAAGAAGCAGGGTCCAGTAGTGCYTGTACCCAGCAGTCACTGGAAATACGTTGTATGGAATGTATGTATTTGGTGCTGGTGTGGTACTGATGTGATCTCGCAGATTGAGGCAATTATTCCTGAARTGCAGATGTCATGGCTGGTTTAGTCCTGAGGAGATGAGGGAATGCAGGGTTTGGGAGGCTGTTCCCCCTGTTCTGTGATACACAATCCCTGTCATCCCAGCAGTAATGTTTATCCCCAGTTTAGGCTGTCTGGTAGAGAAGTCCTCACTGCCAGTTGTCAAAGGTCCTTCAAGCCTGACTTTGCCTAAGACATTTCATTTCTGAGACTTGCAGAGGTGGTTCTGCATGGAATTCCAAGTTTTTCTTCTTTTTCTATAAGCGTCTTTTCCTAAAAAAGGCCAATCAAATGTTATTTCCTTTTAGCATTGTATTTAATATAGAAGTTGGATTTGGTTTAATACATTTCAGTGAGATGAAAAATGAAAGTTTCTGCAGGATCATCAGCTGGACTGGTTTAGTTTAGAGGCTGAAATGAAGAGTTCCTGGTTCTGTGCAGGTCAAGGGTGCTGAACTGCTCTCTCTGTCAGAGGGGGTGATGTGCTGTTGGGAGAATGAGGGTGTCCTGGATTTGTAAAAAGACTTTCAAACATCAGATGAGATTTCTCTGTTGTCTTAAGCACTTTTAAACTCCCATATACAGAGGCATTAATGAGAAACATGAAGTTATTAGAATCATTTATCATTTTCTTTGAAGCTTACACTGGCATTTTGTGTAATTTATGACATTTCCTCCTTTTTATCATGAACTTCTTTAGATGAAGGGAAAAACAGCTGTTTCCCCTCAGAGTATCTGAAAGAAAAGAAAAGAAAAAAAGATGCTGTTTGTTTTTTGTCCAACTCGCTGATTCTGCTGATGACATGCCACAGAATCAGCGGCGCCTTGGGAGTAATTAGGCAGCATGTGGGGCTTAAACCCTTGTGGAAATGTGTCTGTCATTGAAGTGTTGTGCCTCASATGTCCTGCACTCTCAGCTACACCCGGTAACTCATGTGGTTTGGTAATTCTGTGTGCTCTCCATCTCTTCACTTCTGGCAGGACAGAGAAAAGGAGTGGAAATGCACGGGAAATGTGGGTGGAAATCCATGGGAAGCTCTGTTTTCAGAGTGCTGGGGTTTGGGGCAGAGAAGGGGAAAACTGCTACTTTACAGATTTGTGTCCTCTTGGATGAAGAACTCMGTTTTCTGAGTTGCTTTTTCTCTTCATCTGCAAAACGAGAACAGTAATGCCTTCCCAGAGTGGGATTACAGGAACAGACAAAGCATWTGAGGAGTTCAGAAATAATAGTGATGGAAGAGCAGAGGTGTATCAGAGCAAATTAATCTATAACTGCTGAGTTTTGTTGGGAAAATGTCCATTCAGAGGGTTTTTGTGGAGCATCAGAGCTCYAGAAACTGTTCAGCGTCAAGATGCCAGACTCTGGTGATTTCTGAAGGGATGAAGAAATGATTTAATTCTACATGCCCTTCCCAGCCAGAGCTCAAAGACACTTGATCCCCTGGAAAYAAATGCCGTCAGCCCCAGAATCTCCAGAAGAAAACGGACTTAATTTTCCTCCTCTTTCTGTAGTCTGCATTCTTGCCAGTTGAACCCATCTTTTCCCTTTGCCAAAGAAACCCAAGTGAATCACCTTCAGTACCTGAGGGAAGGTGGCACAGCCCCACTGCTGGAGGGCTTAAAAAAAGCAAATTCTTCAGCAGATTTCAATTTAAACCTGTTTTATTACTTTTCCTTTTTTTTTTTTTTTAATTTAAGTCCATTTCATGAGGCAGTTTGCATGTCCTTGAATGGAATCTCGTTACCATGAAAGCTTTTTTAGCATTGATTTCATAACAGTCTTAATTTAATAGTGCCGTCATTACTGAGAAGCTCTGGGAGTGAGGCCCCAGCTTTCCAGGTCAGTGACCTTTTAATTACAAACCTTGTTCTGATGGCCAGGTTATCGACTGGACAGCTCCCAGCTCCTACCCCAGCATGAAGATGGAAATAACTGCCTTCGGCCCCCACTTCCACAAAAGGGAGGAAAAGAAAACTAACCTCTYGTGTTTCCAAAATTAATTTTCTCCTTCAGCTTTACTTTGTAATYAATTCTTTAACATGTCTCAGTGAAACTTAAACAGTTTTTACAAAGGCTTTTCTTGAGAAGAAAATACAATGCAAGCCAATAGAGTCCAGTGCCAATTTAGATGGAAAAACAGAGTTGGCAACCTATGGTTACTAACCATAAAAAAACAGGTATTTGTAAAAAAATACAATAAATAGGTATTTTGACAGCATTTAACCTRTGATGTCAAAATACTTATTTAGGCCAAACCAGCCCTCCAAGCCTTATGCTTTTCTAGAAAGTACCATGTTTGATACACAAATGTGGGATTAGATCCTAAGTGTTGACTGTTCAAGGAATTCTGGGTGACTTKTCCTTCTCTTCAACCTTCCAGTCAGAATATGGATTGCAGAGATGGTGAGGAAAAGGAGTGACGGTGTTATTTCAGTGTTGAGTTGGTGTTGTTCCTCCCTGGTGCTCGTGTGGGCTGTGGTGGCCCTGTGCTGAAGATGATGGTGGTAATTCAGATTTCACACACAGAGCCTTTTCCTCTTCTGGCCCCAGCACTGAGGAGGCTGCAGCTGCACGAGAAGCTCCATAAATCCAGTCACTGTTTGCAGCACCAATCCAAAATACAGCCCCATAGCAGCTACTATGAAAAACAAAAACCCCCTGCTGTATCCCAGGCAGAGCCAGCACAATTGCACAAGTGATGGTGACTGAGGCTTGTCCTGTTCTGTACTCACAGCTCAGGTAACTTTTTAGCTTCTTACACCAGTCCTGCTCCGAGCTCATCACTTGTGCTTGCAAAGCCACGAGCAAGGCCTGGAATTCAGATCCTGAGAGCAAAAATTGATTGCAAGAATATGCTTAGTGTTTCGAGCTTCTGGTACAAATTAACACCCAGTGAAAGTTCACCAGCATAGGTAGAAACAGGGAGGTGCTTTCTGATTATTGGAGAAGTTTGCAGGAGGTGTTCAAGTAGCAAAAACCAAATCTAACATCTYGTGTAGACTGGCAGAAATGACTGTRGAGGTTGAATGGATTTCAACACAT